AATTTAACACCGGACAAAAATAAGTTATTTAGTGACAGTAAATTATCATCTATTAATATTATTTTAACGTAAATATTATTGTAATAATTCTTTATTTTTGCCAACGTACTGGTTACACCTACAATAGGCGTAAGTCAATATTTGTGACGAGCTGGAAGAGATATTCTGTAAATATTTCTATAAGGCTACGTCAAAAACGAAAAATTTACGAAAATTTATAATCCGCAAAAAACTTTATTACAACCTTGTACTAATTAAAATTGTCCGATACTGTTTACGTTCAAATCTTAACAAACTATCATCGAAAGCTTTATAACGTTCTGGCTTGCAGGAGATGTACACCTATTTTTTTCTTCCATCGGTGTCAATGAAATTAGTGTGAAATGTTTCGAAAGCAGACGGCTCTGCAATTTGTAAAACTACGAAATTCCGAGAAATAATCTAGCAGTTAGAGATTTCTATTTTTCGGTACATAAAATAATAGGCTACTTTTGAAATGCTTCAAATATTTTGGGTAAATAATCGCCAATTCGAGCACAGCCGTATCATCCTTTTTTTTGTAGCGTCACTTTTGACACCCCTGTAACTTCGTTGGGGATAAAGCAAGACTATTAATTTTTACTAATCATGAGGTCACTGGCTAGATTTCCAATATATCCAATAATTATATGTCATAGTTTATAAATTATCGCTTGTCAAATTTATTTAATTTTAACAATGACTCACTGACAGGTTATGAAAATTTTAAGGTACCTCTATCTAAGTTTCACGAACTTAAAATTTTGAATTTTAGGTAGCTTTAGGCTTACAACGGAATAAAAAAAATAAAAAATCTCAAAATATCTTTATGGATTAAAAGTTAGGTATCTAGCCGCTACCGGTAATTGATTTTCCAGTCAATAAAAAGTTAGAAATATGATAATCAGTGTGATATCATAGTGTAAGGAAACTAGTAGCTTCACTCAATCCTTTGTCAAATCCTTTGTTCTTTTTCTGCCACTTTATATGACCTTGTTCTCGCGTCCCGTGACCACTGACGTAGCTGTATAGTCGTGGTCTATAACTAGGCAAAGTATAGTCGTGGCACTCGCCATAGTTTCACAGAGATGTATTGAGGAAAATATGAGTTCACAATAAAATAAAATAAAAAAAATTGATCATCGAGTAAAAATTTGCTTGAAAACAGAACATTTCCACATTTTGTGTAAGTAACAATTCTTCTGTATCTGAAAATCTTCTGATCGGAAGAAATGCGGAAAAAATATATAATGACATATTTTTATATTATCATCTATTTCAAAGATTTTCTACGTCTTTTTTTTTAATTTAAAACAAGTTTAATTTTAACATTAATGTGTTTCTTTTGTAGTAATATATTGGTTAGGTGATTTTCATTGGATAACTAATATATTGAACAACACATTGTACTAAATAACAAAATAACATATTTAAACTTGAATAATTGCTAATAAACATTACAGAAATTTCAAAAGAGAAAAGAAGCAAGAACAATGAGAAATAGCATCACTACTTTCTCACGTAATAAAAGAATATTTTTTTAGTTATTGTTACCGAGTCCCGAAGGTACCGAAAGAACTTGGAAATTATAATTTCGAGTCCCGGTTCTTTGATATCTCAATAGAACCGGGAATTTCCGGTTCTGAACCCTAGTTACCATATTATCAACGAGAAATTACGTTTTTTTACTAAAAACTAAAAAAAATTCTTTCTATTCTACTTCTATTTCTAGGGCTAAAATATACTACCCCTAAAAATATTTGCACTTATTTAAGACTCACCCTGTATAGGGCGATTCACGGTTATGGCACGTTAAAGCGTTTCCGGAACTGGAGCTGTTTTTCGGAACCGGTAATTTCGGTTCCATGGGAACCGGGATTTCCATTTTTTTTTCGGTACTTTCGGTACTAGCAAATTTTTGTTCAATGATGGTGCAGTTCGTTAAACAGCAAGCAAGGCGCAAGGGAGGGATGGTTGTCAAAAGTAAAATCGATAAAAAATTTAGGTTTAAATGAAAATAACATCAAATTATTAAGTAGTTATCAGTCTTGAGAAAATTAACCTGAACACAAACATGATCAAAAATGACTCTCAAAAAAAACGCAAAACACATTTTTTTTAATTATTACTACAACCAATAGCAGCATACAGTAAAGCACTCATTTCTTGTCAATCCTTCTCTGTGCTGGGACGCAACGCTCGAACCTCGCAGGTCGACGGACGGAACTCAACTGAAACGCTCTGCAATCTGCCGATGTTCGATAGATTGTAAAAACTGGCAGAAAATATTTGGGAGAGTGCAACTACTCTTTTCCTTCTACTATGGTGATATTCTACTAATTAAAATACTTTATTCTTAAGTGTACTGTTTAGATTTCCTTCCAAATAGTATATTATTCTTTTATTTATGGTGTCGTGCAAATTCTAATATTACAGAAATAAAGAGATTGTATAATATTGATACTAACAACTTATAACAAAATTGTTGAATAGGTGCTTAAAATGAAATAAACTGAATTGGAAAAATTGTTTCCAAAAACATTCTATTTTTTTAATTTTGACATCCGCATTTTTTTATAAAATATTAAAAACGAAACAGAGGATGTATCTTAATGGATGCAACGAATTTGTACAAAGAAGACCAGTTGTACCGTTTTTCCCATATAAAATGAGTTTAATTATTGTCGCCCGAGTCTAACTAATACGCCAATTAGTTAAAAGCCCCAAGACAAAGTGAGCTCTGTGACAGATTTACTCAACGTTTGCTCACGCGATTAGTATGTTCTTCTAAATGGAACCCGCGACAGAAAAACCTTTTTATTTTTTGTTTGCCTTTGTTAAAAGTGTCACTTTTCCGCTCGAATGTAATTAGACCTTACAAAACGGTTTTGTCATAAACAATATACCTATAATTAAAAAGAAATCCATTAAGCTCGACAGATTGTGAAATTTTAACAGAAACACCAATCAAGTATAAAAAAATCAAAAAGAAATTATGTTAACCTCCATCTCTAACCAATAATAGCAAAAAATAATATAATAAATTGAAAAAATATTCAAATAATAAAAAAAATAATAACAAAATACGTCTATTGAAAAAATTGTTTATTACCGTAAAAATTAAAAAGGTTTTTCAGGGCACATGAATTTTTATCACTTGGAATCACCACCGAAAAAAAGGAAGCGATGTAGCAAACTTTTATTTTTCAAGTTACAGGTAGGATCCAAAGCCGACTGTAAATTTGAGTATAGTCGACGTAGTTCACATCCATATTTCCCTTTAGATAACTCTCGAAAACGCTCTGGTTGCCTGGGTAACTCCTAATTGGGAACTTTTCACCATTTCCCTGTTGTTATTTGAGATGCAGCCGTATATATTTGCCTCCGCATTTCAGTTATATATGTCTCCATTAAACGTATTTGTATCACAGTCCTTATACGGATATATAAATCCTTTTTAGCTTTTGATTTTCATTAATATAATTAATAATTATTTTTGATTATTGTTGAACTTAAATCGCAAAGATTTTTACATTATACCGGGTGCGTCTCAAAACTGGCTCACCCCTATATCTTTTTCATTTTTTTCAGATAAAAAAACTTTGGAATGTTAGTATATGACATAAATTAGAATTGATTGATGTATTTAATTGTTTTTGGTCACTTCCTGTTTCACCGGAAATGACTACAACTTTCGATTTTTAAAGGGCACTCTCGGTAATTTTTTACTTTATTCGATAGAAAATTAGACTCTGAATAGAATGGCATATCACATGTCAACTTTTGACATTTTCTAATATGGTTTATTTGAAATTGTAACATGTGGTTCATAACAACAATTTGACTCGAAATACCAAGTGTGTGGTATCAAATTATTCGTAAAAAAATGATTTTTCAAATATGCTAATGAACCACCCTCGTTCCATTTGAAAAAAATGAGATATGATTAAAAATACGATTAAAAATACGAAAAACATTAGATGATCAAATCTGTTTCCAATAGTCCTTGATTAAAAATTAGTGTTTTTAACAACCATGGCACTCTATATTAATATTTAAAATATGATTTTTTTAAAGCGAAAATCTCAAAAGTTGATATATGATATGTCATTCTATTCAGAGTTTCATTTTCTATCGAATAAAGTAAAAAATACGGAGAATGTTATTTAAAAATCAAAAGTTGTAGTAATTTCCGGTGAAACAGGACGTAACCAAAAACAATTGAATACTTCATTCAATCTTAATTAATGTCATATACTAACATACCAAATCTCGCTTTTTTATCTGAAAAAATTAAAAAGTTATAAGGGTGAGCCACTTTTGAGACGCACCCGGTATATATTTTTATACCAGGTGGTGCATCGGTATTGGAAACATAAGAAATCTCATAAAAATTTTGAACTGTCGAAATATTGGCTCCTCTATTAATTATGCTGCTAAGTCGTAAATAGTGCATTAGTTTGACATTGTCGTATGCAAGGTATGACAACTTATGCATTTGCCTGGTTTTGCATGGTTACATGTCCAGTTTTAATTTAAAAATAGATGCAGTTTTTCTTAAATACTTAAAATCGGCTTGCCTAAAATTGCTAAAAACCTATTTACGATTTCGTTGTAAAATTAACAGGGGAGCCAATATTTAGACAGTTCAAAATTTGCATGCGATTTACTATGTTTCCAGCAACGATGCAACGCCCGGTATGAGAAAGACTTTTTTATATATAAATGAATAAGTACCTATTCTTTTTTTGAGCAACAGCAAACTTGTTTATAGTTTTATTATTCACACAATGATTTTATATTTAGTAGTTCAAGTACCATATGATCAAAAAAAAACGGCGTCTAGTTGGCTTGGAAATGACGATCGATGACATTCCCCATATAATTTTACATATAAAATGACAGCGATATCCATTTCATAGCCATCGATGACGCCGTTTTTTTTGATCATACGGTATATAATAATAATAGTTGGTACTCACCGTGCAAATTTTCGGTGGTTGATATTTACTTCTGTTGAAATTTTCTACAATTGACGGTGAAGGTGGTTGGAGTATTTGAATTTTTTCGTTAACTGCTGATTTCGATATGTCTATACTGTTTGTCAACGCTTGTGAACTATTCTGAGGTGTGGACATTTTCGAAGCAACTGAATTTTCTGGCTTGAAGAACCATGATGCTACTGAGGCCCACTGAAAAAAAAAATCACAATTATACCTAACTAAATAAATAGCTTGTTTTTGTAGAAAATACATTCTAGGCCCAATTATTTTTCTTATATTTATTAAGACTCACCCTGTATACGGTACTTCCCAGCGAAGCTGTCATAATCGTGATAAAAGTAAGTAAAAATAAAATAATAAAAGACAGAAGCAGCCTCTGGATAAAAATATCCTCGATCCAAAAACGGTGCGTGATTCATATGGGTTCTTGAGACCAGATGAAAAACAAGGTGATCATGATGCTAGTGAACTTGTCGATGATGCTTAATATCACCCGATCGAAAGCGTGTGTATTTTCGTATGCTCTTAATGCACACACTCGACATATCGGGATTGTTTTAGTGACATCTGCTCGATGCTCGTGTGCGATAGTGGGTGTGATGGTTTTAATTTCGATCACGACTTAATGTCATTTTTACGCCCCTATGTAATAAATATACATCTCGTGACTCTATACGTAAATTTAGACGGAAAGAAAATAGCAAGAGACGATTGACTTAATTTTTATTATCACTTAGGCGCCCCGGTATTTTTAAACCACTTTCAGATTATGTCAAACATCTGGAGTATTTACGAGATTTATTTATTTTAAAGTTTAATAAAAGAAAAAAAATTGTAAAAATTACACAAAACATTAAATATGAGTAAATAAGAGGGCATCCATAAATTACGTGGGGCGTTTATGAAGATTATTTAACCCCCCTCCCGCCTGGTGAGATGTCAGGAGATTTGTCTGGACCCCCTCCCATTATCTCAAGTGAGATCTTTATTTTATTTTATACCTTTATTTTATTATCTATTATTTATTACTAAATGCGTTAGATTTATTTAAAAAACACAATTGCTTTATTATTTTTATTAAGACTAGAAAGGCTAATATTTGAACGCCTAGAACAGATAATAACTAAAAAAAAATGGATGTAATGAAAAACGAAACTAGATCTGTGTTGATAGGCCAGATAATGGATTCCTGACATAGTCCAAATTCATCCCTCGTTAAATTATCAAGCTTTCCCCCTACACACAAGAGTTCATCGTCTAATAAACCCTTTTTTGGTGGCCATATGCCGGTTTTTTGCCATCTCCAATTACCAAAAAATGCCAATATGTGATTTACAACCCTCCATTTTATTTGTGAAAGTGGATAATTCTTTCTGGAGTAAAAAATATTAGCAGATTAAACATATTTAAATTTTAAAACGAGAAAATGTCAAGGGAGTTAAACTGAGAACGGTGAACAATTTAAAATCTGAGTATCCTGAAGATGAGTTAATTAATAAACGAGAAAACTGTGACCCGGTATTATAAAATATATAGGGATGAGTAAGTATACCATTCGTCAGTTGTTTAACTCAATTATTGATCAAATATGGCGCATTTCCCACCCCACCGGCTCCGTTAACCCTTTTGCGTTGAGGGGATTAATAATTATGTACCAACCCCCATATTAGGTCCTCAACATAACAACCCTATTATATTTATGCTCTGCGAAAATATCACTTTCATTGTTGAGGCCCTTTTTAAGGAATCTATTTGGTTTTGGTCTCTGTCGGTAATACAAAATCGATTTCTTTTCAATTTTCGTTTTTTCAATAACGGTTTAAATATCGAGAGTCATTCTAAATAATTTTATTGTTCTATAATTGGGCCCAGATTCTAAGTCTTTTGTCAAATTTTTACGCGGAATTGCAACTTCCTCACAATAGAAAGTCCTCGTATCTATTGGTGTCGGTTTATATTAAGAACTAAATTACAAAGGAAGTATCAAATCATAAATAAAGTATTCAGGGAACAATTTTCTTCGACATACGCTTTCTTTCGGTTTTTATAGACAATAAATTTACATCGATTCTCAAAGCGTGGAGGAAAAAAAAGGAATCGGTTAGGCTTGTGTTTAAATACACAATATATTATTTAATTACCACATATGAGACAATTAAAGTATGATGTACGGTGTAACGGATATTCCATTAAAAACGTTATAATTACTTTTTAATAAAGCCATTGATGACTGTATCAAAATATAATAACGAATAATTTGCGGCTATTACTGCATGGAATCCGATGATATTTCATTTGTGCCTCGTGAATTATTACTGCAAAATAATGAGGTAAGAACTAGAAAAGAAATAATGCTAGCTTCATAAATCTCAAAATAAATCTAATAAACTAATATAATTATCCTTTTTCATACACATTTTATAATTAACACACATCAATATTTAGAAATGGAATTTAAGTGTAATCACATCGACAAGACAAGGCTACAAAGTAAAAAACGAAAAACACCGTCTACTAAAATTTATTGTTTTTAATATTACTTATTTTTTGATAACTCCAATTGCGAGCTGTAAGTGCACGGTTTACATGTGCACACAGCCAGCTTAATACATCGAATGTCGCTAGATGGTCGCGGAGAACAAAGGATCCGGATGGCAAAGATTTGATCAATTACATCTAAATTCTAATATACCTACGACAGTTTTGTTTAGAAATCCAAACTTTTCATATTAATTTCTAGTCTATTACAAATAAATAGACAGATATAGATAGATAGATAGGTAGAAATAGTATCAAAGAAAACAGAAATATATAAAATATTTTCTTGGAGATAATGAATAGACTTGAAAAATACAAAAAAAATCTATTAACCTGTAAATATCTAGAACTGTATTAAAAAATGAAATACTTACTTAATTTTAAATACTTAGTTTTTCTCCTCATTTAAAAAAATAATCAGTAAAATATAATAAACATAAACAAGTGTTTATCTAATTACACATTCTAAATAATTCGACCATACTCAAAAAAAATTATTCAAAATATATGGCTCTAATTTTACTATGAACTTAAATAAGTAACACTTTTTTTTAATTTTCACAATTGTTTGTTGTTCAAAAAAAAATGAAAATTTGTTGAAAATTGTTGATTAAAATAGTGTATGTTTTAATACACTTGTAAAATGCTCCAATTTCGGGTTTTTAACTTTATGTACAAGGTAATTATAATGTACACCTCTGGATGGGTCTATTTCTTTAGGTTTAGCTAGATTAAACATTTCTTTATGCTTCCACAAAAATAAGAAATAAAAATCATTCCTTATCAAAAATAGATAGACATTTATTTTAAGTTTTAGTATAATACGGAGATACGCCTTTTTGACATATAAAAAAATCTGTCAACAGTCAACATCACCAAAACTGCCATAGTTGCTTGATATACCATTTTCAAAGTTTGCAAATCTAAGTACTTTTTTAAAACCAGTGGACTGTAAGTTGACTGTGAAATTTATCATTTTTGTCTAAGCAGAGGTCCAAGAATTTTACATCCGATAACATCTTAAAAAAAAAGTATTAATGAAAGAATGCAAATGAAGAGTCATTTAATTATTGTCATGGCTAGTCATAGCTGTATTTTTATTTCACTTTAGTATTTCTTGCTTCTTTTGAATAAGAGAGGTTTTTTAGAGAGGTGGAGAATTTCGTTTGTGTTTAAACGAAACGAAATAAAAATCTACTACAAAACCAATTCAATTAGGTTGAAAGCATCTATTTGTTTTTAGGGCAGTTCAACTTAGATGAGTTTACATGCCGCAGCATCCTTTCTACATTATCAGGACTAGTATAAAATTTATCTCGGCGGGATAGTTTCGCCTGAACCGTACACCGGGTTTCCGTTAAATTTACATAACTGTTACTCCCTCGCCGGTTTTTCTAAAACAATTTCTTATCTGCCACCAATCGAATTAATTGAAAAGAAAGTCCGACGCGTCTAGGTTTCTCATCAGAGTGCTCTTTCCGTTTTAACAAACTCTTACAAATAAAGTTAATCAATTACATTGTACTACTGCATTTCTAGTTTTTAAATATCTCAGGAAATTCTCAATCTATTGGACTCCTACACAAAAACATATATTTTATTAGGGAAGAGTAATCTAAACAGTACCGCTTTGAAGAAATTAATAAATTTTCCAAATTTTTTACTGGGTGGTTAAATTGGGTGGTTATGATTATTGTGAATATTTAGTTTGATGTCTCTCGCATCTTTTATATTTATTTTTTTGGTTTTTTATTAGCATCAATTCAACAGAAATGCCAATTTTTCCAAAGCCTTACAAATAGTACGATTGCAGAAGTCGTATGACTAGGCTTTCTATACAGAAAGGTCCACAGACTTCGAGACATAGGAAAAATCAAGTCCATTTAGCGTGTGTCGCAATTTTCACACCTTAAAAAATTAGTGTTTTTATAACTATAGCAACTGCAGCGACTATGAAAAAAGCTGTATGGTTTTCATAGAAAATAAGGGCACCTGTAATTCATTTGAGAATGTTATAAATCGCTAAAAGAGGTTTCAAATTTCTTGGATTTCTATTAATATTAAATAAATTTTATTAAAAATTGAACTAAAATTGTTAGTATCATTAAAAACAATTCAAATTCAGAAATTGTGTCAGTGAAATTCCCTCATTTAAGGTGAATATTAAAGTAAATATAAATACAGCTCATTCTAAGCTCTACTTATCTCTAAGAAAAATTTAAATCATTGGTGCAATTGGGCCTTAATGTCATTTCGAATAATAGTATTAATAATGTACCTTATGATAATAATAAATTTTATATCATAGTGTGTATTAAAACTACTAAAACACTTTTAAATTGATATTATATTAACAACTTTTGTTTTTTTAATCCAAAAAAAAATAAAAGTAACAAATTTTTCAATCAAAATATTTATGGTCCTGAAAAGGACTTTTGTTTTCTCATGTTCGTCAAGGTAGGTAATGGATAAACGGTAAAAAATCAGGATAATGAAATTTAAAAATTACAAAAATTATCCAAAAATGCCTCCCTCTTGCATTAAACAATAACCCAAATTATCATAAAATCTCCTCCTCACATTGGATAACATATCAGGGGTGACAGTGTCAAAGGCATTAAACATATTCTGCCTTAACTGCTCCAAGTTTT